GAAGAGAATACACAACATTTTTATTTCGAAGGAGAAAAATAATAAAAATAAGGGAGTATATGCCACACAAGAATAGAACCTGAAAGACGCTGAAAAATGGAACTTTGCATGCAACCCTATGTGGATCTAAGCAACTTTTCTACAAATCCGGTGTTTGCCAGTGAATAAGCATCTGCACTTTGCAGTTAAAGCAACTAGGAAGAGAGCATTTGATCAAGACAGTTAGAACGTATTGCTTAGAGTTTCAATATTAGTATGGTTATGATTGTCATATATGTTATGATGGTAATCAACCAACAAAGAGGGACGCAGTTTGTGTCCCTAGAAATGACGTGATGTTTCACTTTAGTAGTGGAAGCTGGATGGTTCCCGTTATTGTTAAGAGGTCATCGAGGTGATGTCGGACTAGGAGAGTCAACATGTTATATTATTAGCATTTTTCGTGCACCGTAGAATCAACCTTCTTGACGACAAGGGATGAACTACAATAAAACAGAGGACAGTCGCTCATATCAGGAAGCATATGACAGTTAAAACGTCCATTCGTATTTCGTTAACTGAATGTCTAGAGACAGGTGAAAATAACACCAAATGTCTAATGAGTGGGATGTATTGTTTTATATATGTGGTATGGTGTAAACACCAACTACTTCAAGTGGCTTCCGCGGCATTATTTTCACGATTTAACCAAATCATCGTAGCAATTCATCAAAAATTCCACTAGCTACCTAAAAATCTATGCATCTATTAAACGCATCCAAATACCAGCTTTTGTTGTCAGTATTAAACTTGTGAGATTTAGCCATGTTAAACCATCAGACTATCAGGAAGCACTGCAGACTAAAATGGATCTTGTATCTAAATCATAATCATTGATAATAAGTGAAATTAATTTATCCTCAAAGCCAATACGACTTGTACTCTCGTGAATGAGTCGGTAAACAACATCCAAGCCACAGCTTATCACAGTACAAAATGACTGCTTTTTGCTGTAAGGTATACCAAAGAGGGGATCCAGGTTTAAGTTCTCATGGAATTTTATTCGGCTAGCTTTTAGGGACCACGATCAAGCCAATATATTTGAAACTAGAAATCATGGTTAATTACAACTAATTAACATATTTTAAGGTTACCTGATTTGTCTTTATTGATTCATGACCCAGAACGAGATCATAAACGTCCTCACTCTTAAAATACTATGTAGTGACTACTCCATCCGTTGTCATCAACACTTTATTATCTAGAAAAAGTCTTACCAGTGCCATCTGCAAATAGATGCCTTAAACACTAGCGTTGGCTACTCAGGCGAAACACCATAAACGGATGTTCACAGACATTTGAGTATGATCAGTGGCATTCCAAATGTATAAATGGTCTCTTAAAACCCATACACGTTCCCACAAAAAGAGAAGGTTAAATTTCAGAAAATGGTAAGTGTTCCACTATAAGGGCCTTATAAATGAGGGTGTAAAACCGTAAGCTGATTAACCTTGTGGTTAGTTGTTCGCTCTTTGCAACAGATCAACAAGTAGCAACGTGATCGAAGTTTACAGCTTACGACTTAGCTTGGGTCGCTTAAAAAATATGGTTTTATGTCTAGACTATCATAAGGATCTGAAAAAAAGCTGCCATGGTTCTGACTACCAAAAGACGCACAGCCAAGTGTGATCTACTTGTCATAAGAGCTAATTAAAATAGGGCTTAAGTGAAATGTAGGACTATTCTTCAAGAACTGAAGCAATGGATTAACGAATATAATATATTGTTAATATGCATAGTAATTTCCTGCATATTCCAATTTCTGACTTACCCCCTAATTTCTCCGCATTCCGTCGTTCTTTATAGCTTTTAACTTTGCAAACGAAGAGGACTCTTAGAAATTCTGCCACTGATAATAAGTGAAGAACCCCAAATTTTAAAGAAAGCTGCCAAAACATCAAATTGACATTAGATAATAGGTATCAGGCTAATGCACATAGTTTACTCTCACGACTCAAACACCTGTACCCAGTACATCATTAGACAATCAGGATCACATCTAAACCCTAGATTTCTCTCCCTAGTGCTATACCCAAGTGACGAGAGAAAAAATCCCGAAACTAGTTGCTCAGGAATATTGATAAAGGTATGGTGGTCATTGTAAATAATGGTCTTCACTAAGCAGAATAAGTGACGTGTTATCTTGATACAATTTTCGTTATCGTACTGTCTAGTAATAATAGTAAGGTATTTCCACATAGTAATGTGTTAAATCTGTATTACTATAGTCCGATCAATATGACAGACTTTTTGTTGACCACTCATGTCCGTAGTTTCTCAAGCTCAATGGAATCTGCAATTACGGTGACCCCAAATGGTGTCTTGAAACATTATTACGGTCAGCCATAAGAAAATTGAGAATTAAAACAGTAAAAACAATTGCTCTAAATTTACACCCAGTAGTACAGAGTTGTTTTATGATATTATTTATTATGTTTGACATTCGTGATATTGAGAATTACCGTTCACCACTATTGCATTCAAATTGAAGGGCTTCAGTGTCTAGTGTTTTGCAAGAAACCATCCTGGGCTCTCAGCTGCTTCTCATATGTATCAAAGACCTACTAGAATGCCCAGGTTCACCTGCGCTTTTCAGAGAGCCACAAGGTGTGGAGAAAATTCACAAGAAATAAGAGATATTTAGCATTACCTCAAAAATGCACAGAAAATTATGGTTTGAAACTCAACGTCGTAAATTATTAAACGATGCTCTTCTAAAACACAGAAGAATATCAGATTAGCTACTTACTACGTAGTAATAATGATCTCTCCTGGACATCGATGGAGAGCGTTGGGATTTCAAGCGGCTTTGTATGTCAGCTTTACAGAACAATCTACAGCAAGTGGATTTGGATCTCCAACATCGACTTGATGTGAGCATTCACCATGATATTTTACTGCATACGATCGTACGTGCTACAAATTAATCCGTTTCGTAAACGGCCACTAAAAATTATGAGCAACGTGCAGTCATAACGAGTCACACTCTTCAAAAGATAAGACTAGAGAGATACTAACGAGCAGAATACAAAGGAACTAGTGAAGGCGGCACATAAAAAAAGTTCAAACAAGCAAGGAATCAGTGCAAGAAACCGATAAAATAGGATAGACTTCAGTACCAGATAAAGCAAATCTATAAATTTTTCTCCAATCCGAAAAGATTACCCCGTCATTCAACATCTCTTCAAAAATTCTGAGCTGGAGTTTCCTAGTTGTTAGGACCTGATGGCCAGATCAACAACGACAGATATGCCAGAAAGCTCCTGGGAGACTAATATTCTCAGACATTTCAACAGTCACATGCAAAATACGTCGATGAGAGCTTTACATACAACCTGAATTCAGTCTGAGAAGTGATCCTGTACGTTGGAACGGTCTATCAGAGACTGCAGCATTGCAATAAATATATGTCTTTCGATTCATTTTGCTATGCTGAAAAAATCGTCTGCAATCTTGGCACACTGTTCTATGTGACACTCGCAGATTTTCTGAGCTGAGGCACAGCCCCAGAAAATTGGAACTTGGCTAACATTACACTAATTTTCAGAGGAGGCAAACTCAGTGAACCTTCAGACTGCCGGAGAGTAGCACTTCTGCCGTTACACTATAAGCTTAGAGTGCTAGATACACGACGGTCTGTGTGACTGCTCGTTATCCATAAACTTTCTTCATCCCAACATTCCGTTTCCAGGAAGAGTTACTACTATAAACCAACCTAGTGAATGCGGTTGATAGATAAACAACCATTCATGATCTCAAGGGGAAAGTTGATGTCACAAACTTTTACTTCTCAGAAGCTTTTGACACGGTCAGTCATATATTTCTCATCAATAAGCTCAAAATCGTAGGCATCGGGTCTCCGTTAATGAACTGGGTTGCTCTAGACAGAAATGATCGTTCACATTTCCTTAGGCTACAGAATGTCCTTGTGGGGCCACCCAAGACTCAGTACTAGGATCTCTTCTCCTTTTAATTTATATAAATGACTTTCCTCAGGAAGTATGATCCGATTTATTACTTTTCGCTGATGACGTGGAACTTTAGAGAGAAGTTCGCAACTAAGGTAGCAATTAAGGAGGATTTGGTTCGACCTCAGTGTTGGACAAGTAACGACAGACTTACTTTTAACACTTCGAAGTATGAGGTGATCTATCTGAGACACGTCGCAGACTGCGAGTACAACTCTCCTCTAGAAGTGTCTTAAGTTAAAAATGATCAAGGGATCGTGGTACCATAAAGTCTAAGGTCTTACACTAGCTGCGACAAAAACGCTTTTCAAGCAAACCTTGCACTGATAATGATGAAGCGCATCTTTGGTCAGTTTAATAGGAGAACTTTCAACTTAATCCTTTACAGTTTTATATATACCTCATTTAGAAAATGGGAATATAGCGTCATCCCCCTCACTCCTAAAGGATGAGAATACACTGGGTTGAGGTAAGCCACGGAATCAGTCCGAAGACTCGAATTCGGCCTTTACGAAGAGCGCCTCAAATCACCGAATCTTTGTCCATTAGAGTACAAACGTCTCAGTCGTGACCTTTTAATGACTTATGGCATCCTAAACACTCCTGAGCACCCATTTAAATACTTCGTTGTGCTCTGTCCCAACACATACCTTAGAGGTAACATTCAGAAATTAGAGACTTAACTTGGCGAAATGGAAAGTAGAGACACCTTTTGCTACTTATGTGTAGTTAAATTCTTGAATTTGCTGCTAGATGAGGTAGTCAAGGCGACTTCCCAGGAGTAAGCTTGACATATTATTAGGGACTCAGGACAATACTTCGCTACGATTTGATATCATTTCTCTTTTTCACCACTAACCTTACTTAGGTTCGTATCATAAGGTATCGCTTACTCACGGCTACTGGATACGGAATTCCATTAGGCTAAAGCTTCAGCCACAACCATTTGAATAATTTTAGATATAAAAAACTCCCGTCATTTTTGAAATTTACGTCACAGGTCCGTGTGATGGCTTTGGTTTCCTATGGGAGTTCGGGGGAGGAATCTAATGGTAGGTTTAGTGTAAAAGTCACGGTTTTATCAACAAGATGATGAAGAGGATTTGGTTGTCAGCAATGAGAGTACTACAACAGCTAACAGTATATTAAAAGATCGAGTTGAACCTGAGTTTAAAATGAGAGTCCCTAAAAGTGCTAAGCTACCTAACCTTGTCCCAAACATTCCTATTGTCAAAACAAAAGACGGTAAGGTTTTGCTTTCCGTCCCCGATTTGGAAGCGGTAAGTACATATTTATTGTACAATATCGTGCATTCTTTTAATTTATTTGCAGTTGGATTCGTCAGATGACAGTGACGATGAAAGCAGTCGTTCAGCTAAGAATAACAAAGTACGTACGTTACATGCCAGTTTTCCTTCAAATGAATTTTGATGCCATCCGTTGTGTTATATTTATTTTGTGTAGTCACATGAGGTGTTGCTTTGTGGCAGTTTTAATGAATCTATGAGTTATGTGATTTTGTTTCACCTAAGGATGTTGGTTACAATGTCTCTAAAGCTTTGTTTTTTTCCGCCCAACATTAGACATGTCGAATACTTGGCCAGACAAAATAGGTAGTAGTTTTCTTAGTTTATTATTAGGTAATCTTACGAAGCCCAGAGACCAAGCACCTTACAGTCAGGTTGTAAAACAACAAAGTCCATTTTGATTTAAACAATGCCTTATTCATGCAATCAGAACAGGAGGGGGGTAATGGTGAAAATCTTGATAATTTTAGGGAAAAGTCTACTTTTTCCCCAAGCGGTAGACTTTTGAGGGAACGTCTCAGTAAAGAGTAAATTCACTGACACATTGAAACAGAGTAGTTCTTAGCATCTACTTAATGGCTTTAAAACTTCGTTATATGTGGTGAATCTTTGTTCCCCAACATAGCTCAAGTTTTTTGTTGTTTATTTATGGATGAGTACCTAATTGAGATAGGTCTCAAAAGTTCCCACCTTCGACTAATCTAATATACCACTTTACTTTGATTTGTTGTTTCCCAAATAAAAAATCACAACCACGTGATTAGACAAGTTAATAATCACATTGGATGTTCGTAATCCTACCACACAAGTAAGGTTTGTTTCTAAGTTTGATGTGTTAGTTCTAGTATTTAACGATGTGCTTATGGTTTAGCTTAACGTTATGGTATTTTCTATTAAAACTTGACAAATCCTTGACAAAATGTTGGCTTCAAGAAGGCTATTATCCGAATCGTTATTATCTGGTGTTAAAACTATGGAGAAAAGTATACCGCCTGCCACGTGTTTTAAAAATGTGGGTTATTGACTCTTCATCTTGCAGTGAAAATACATTTGAGAATGGCAATAGGATCTTAATTCGGAAGAGAGGTGTACATTATTCTGAAATCGTAACCCATTATTTTAAAATCTAAACATAACTTATATTTTCAGACCCCCCCTCCTACCTGTATTAGATTTCTTAAGTCTCTTGCAATTAAGTTTTCATATAACTCTACAGAATTGTTTTTTCAGTCATTAGCTTTGATTCTTAAGTTATGATCTGCATATGTTTATTAATGCTTTCAAAATTGTTCTCTCCCATTGCTTACTTAAAAAATTCCGTTAAACGAATTCTCTTCGGTAAATCAGGCGTAAAACTTAAGTGTATATTTCATATTGCAAGAAACCACAGTAATACTGCTTCATTTATATATTTGTTCTTAAAGCGATCATTAGTGAGATAGTTTACTTTGTTGTCTATTTACCTTCACCCCTAAATGCCCTGGTACGACCGACGGTGAGGAGAGTCAGCTCCCTTTCGAAACGCTCTTATATGGCCACGCGTATACAGCCACTGCCAGGAAAGTCCTACTCACTACCTTCTCGTAGCGGGGGGTTATTTACGAAATTGAGTGGACGAAAAGCGATGTCCAGTTCTTTAAGCGGGTTTGTGTATATGGAGGATCCGCCTAGGGAAGTTGGAAAACCCTGGTTCTAAACCAGTGGTGCACATGAGCTCCAGGATCATGAGCAAACAAATGGCGTATGGACCAATTGACGGTCATCGGCTACCATGGAAATGCATTTGAGAAACCATGTGATGTAGCTGGTTCTGATAAAAATCCTCGATAAACCCTAACTAAACCAATAGCATTATAGTAAATAGCTTTCTGTAAGTTTATATACTTTGTGTTGTTCATGCCTCTAGAAGAATGAAGAATTAGTTTATGAGTCTACAAACAGTGCTTATACTTGCTTTCTGTTCGATACGAAAAGACCTATCCTGATTCTCTCTAGCTCGTTTCCCGTTGCATTTTTAACGGCACCAGCACTTGCGACTTATGTCGAACTCACTACTACGTGACCTTAAAAACGTTGCGGTTAAAAAGTGACATTGAATGAGTCATATGCTTAATCCTGCCCTTATTAATTATATGAATATATCTTAAAGTATATTACCTAATATTCCTGATTTCTAATGACATACTAAAGCTGTTTAGATATACTCAATAGATCGTTTAATATCAAAAGTAGAATGAATAACTATATCCTTATTTGGTCACTTGATTTTTTCCAGCCTAGTCTTGTCCCATCCGGTAAAATATAACTATCACTAAACCCGTAGAATTTTTAGTTCGCCTTACTACTCAAATTTGTGAAAGTTTACAATTCAGTCAAGTAGTTTAGCTAATTTACCTAGAGCATGGTATCAACGTTTGACGCCCAATTACTTCAATGTATACGAACCAAGTTAAGAAGACATCCATGGTCAAATACCTATGGTCTATGAATGTCTCGTATTTTCAATCCCTATTTTTCATAAACATATTGTAGTTCAGCACATAATTAGAAGGCGATATATTGAAGAAAGGAAGCGTAGAGATTTAGAGACTATATCATGGCTTATTTTACATGTATAAATAAGTTTATTGCAGTTTGTCAGGTCTAAGCTTAGAAATGTCTTGTTGTAGTAAATGGCTTTATATTCCCTAAGAGTCAACTTATTTCATTGGTTAATGAGGTGATACCCTAAGACTAGTATTTACACATCGATAATCATTGTCGATAAGCTGTGCTTTTACATCAAAGATACACACTACTTGAATTTACACAAGACTCAATATATTAAAATTATTCGAGCTCCCATCAATTACTAGTCACGATTAAACTTTTGGTAATAGCTAGCCCATTGACATGGCTATAAGTAGTATAAATTAGACTAAATTTCATGACGTTGCTTCTTCAATTAGATTTCTACATGGTTTTGATTTTATTGACAGTTATAAATGTCTAAGTCATTTATGATTGTATTCTATTTGCAGTCCTATCGAAATTCTAAACCTGGAACAGATAAAGTTAGCCTTCTTTCTGTCCTTCCACCAACACGTGCACTTATTGTCCGAGAAGGGAACAGACCAATGATACCACATCAACTAATATGTAAAAAGAATACAAGTCATACTGTTAAAGAGACATTGACTATGAAAACCAAACCTGAAAATGTTGGACAGAAACCAGGTTTTCAGAATAACAACGATGACGATGACGTTTGGGATGCTGACATAACCAGCAAACAAGATTCTGATAAAGACACTTTAGAGATAGCTGATGAAGATGCTGAAGAAGTTAGTTTCTTTTCATTTTACAAACCTACACCTAATAATCATGAAGCTGTCGCTTCAGAAAGAGCAGCCGCACTATCGGCACTACAAGCAACTCGAAAAAAAGCTGAGTTGTCTAGCAAACCATTAACTGTAAACAATGATGATAATAATTCATTCATAACAGTTACGTTGTCACATGATGAAAACTCAACTACTAGTCGACTCACTGCAAAATCATGGGAAGAGTGTTTACCAAAGGTTACTATAAGTGATCCGGAAATTCTACGTCAAATGTCTTCTGTTAAAAAAGAAATCGCTGAACAAGAAGAAGATGACAAAGAGGATGTTGAAGAAAAGGTCTTTTGGACAGAAGAGAATTTCGTTCCAGGTCCAGAGGTATTTTAAATTCTTTTTAAATGGTCTTATAATCTTCCAGCTAATAATAATCATATTAACTTTCCGAATTCGCTGATATTAACCATTATTGGCATTGTTTCTAATTTTGTAACAATTATCGTAGTCTACAGGTCATTATGAAGATAAATGTTTCATTTGAATAACTTAATTAAGACACAGGTTTAGTATAAAGGTGCAATCAACGAATTTATTCAAGGTGATAATTTGATCTAATTCGATCTTCGAAACCAGCCGTCTTTTTGTAAATATGTCTGTTTTACGATTAAGCGAATAGGATTACCCTAGAGTCAAGGGTTTAATCCGTTTGGAAAATTCTAAACCTTATAATTTACACAAAATCATTGCGTACACTTTGACACTACTTATAAACGATGTGCGTTACTAGAGCTTCTATCCCGTATATCTGTTTTATTTTGTTAAACTTGTGTTCATACATTCCCAATAGGATATTGCTGACTTGGATTACGCGGATGACATAGTCCTGTTTGGTGAAGACGCTGATAAAGTACAGTCTTCTGGTAGCACTGAGCAACAATACCACAATGTTTAGGATGCGTTTCGCCCCTTCTAAATGTAAATTGTTGCTACACGATTGGCCTGCGTCAACACCTAAACTAAGGATAGGGAGTGAAGTAGTCGAACATGTCGATAAATTCACCGTTTATTCGAAATCCAGATAGAACATAAACAGTGGGCGGCTCTAATTGTGATCAAGGTCACTGATGGTTGTGAGCATCTAAATTCACCCAATCTGTGGGTAGCAGTAAAACGAGGATAATAGGTGTTAGTTAAGTGTGGTAGTCAATTAGTTGATGACTAAATAAATCACTTAGTATATAGATTGATAAATCAGTGCATTATTTAATCGATTGATCAGTAGAAATTTGCTGTCAACGATTCGGTTATCTTGTGTAACATATTACCCAATTCGCCACTAGCTAATTAAAAATGATTTTTCTACATGATTCTTACAAATCATTAGTTCTCCAAAGAAAATTTTAGTGTATTTCTACTACCACGCAGTTTGCATCCATGATTAACATGTTATGGTCATTTAAGCACTAATAAGGTGACTTGTGAATATCAATCAGTTTCACTTGTATTTGAAAGTATATGCTTGTTGGAGTTGCTATATCCCCAAAATACAAAGTATGAGAGAGAAATTGAATCTTACAATTTGTATATCGGTTTGAGGTGATTTTTATTATGACTTATATCCACCCACTAAGTTTATGTTCTTAGGATGACCAATAATACGCCAGATAGCACCAGTACCAATACCATAAAATAAAAATTACGAACTATATATGATCAACCCAAAGCGTGGCTGTGGGTAGGGAAGACTGCAAATAACAAGCTGGCAACAGATTAAGGATAGTAAATCATATAATGGTAGTTAATGGGTCAAACGGAAACTCATGATAAAATGAATTGATACATATGTGTATATATAATCTAGCTACTTAATAGTTATCCAGTAATAGTCCATAAATTGATCCTGGCAGTTGCCATTCCTTTAGTTTTTTTTCAGATACAAGAATTTTCGTCCAGTCAGCTTCAACATATTGTTGTGAATTCTATTCATTAATTATCAGTTGTAATTAGTTATTTGATTCTCAATGCATTTTCCTTGTTATTTCACTATGATTTTTTGTCCAGTAAAAATTAATCGAATAAAGGGACTATGTAACCGAGTTGATATGTAGTTGAATTGACTTGCAGACTCAATTCTCGACGTTCTCATCCAGGAAGTCTTCTTAAGTAAATCGATCGTTTAGAGTAGTTGGAGTGGTAGGCTCAAAGCAAATAGAGCTGTTGTATACGGTATTGTAGTTTTCGTTAGAGTTTTCTCCCCACATTCTGCATCTGTAACTGTGTTTAGAAGAGCTTTAAGTAAAAAAGAAAAGGGTATTTGGTAATATTGTGACTAATGTTAACTGGAATAGGATTACTTGTTCATTAGGCGTATGAAAAAGCTGTAAGCCTTTTGGCTATAGGTCAATAAATGACGTTTCAAGATCTTCAGGGATTCCATTTTGAATGAATTTTAGTATCTGGAGTACATCAACTCGTCGTACTCTAAACATTTGCGATTGATTTTACGTTTTCACTTGTTTTCTTTCACATTTTGCAAACTTTTTGAAAATGCTATTAGTCTTGTGATTTCCACTTTGCTCAACTTCCCTTCTGTTACTGCATTCTCATTTCACTAATATGAATTGTGTGGCAACTTTGATACAGGGCTCTCATCGTCTGTTATATCGGGTAAATATTTATGCTTGTTTATACACTACTATGTATTTTATAAGTAGTTTCCGTTCACTGTTTTGGTTGCTTTGAATCCTGAAATGATCTGTTGTATTAGTCCACCAAACGTCGAAAAGTGAAATATAAAGTTACTTTACGCGTATGAAGCAGTGGTTAAAGTATTCTTTCAACCAATAAGTCACGTGTTCAAACCATACTCCAACTTTGGATTTGCACAGTCTAGTGGTGTCATTAGCTCTTACAAAATCAGTAACTCAAATCCTAGTATAAAACGTGTAATTGGTAGAAAAAAACATTCATTTGACGGATTAGATGGAATAAATGAGCTCCCGAACTGGATTTCCAAATAAAAGACCCATAGTAAACGAATTAGTGTCTAAAAAACTAGAGATTCATATCGACATTTAGGACTGTTGCTTCGTGTCTCAAAATTTAAAACAGGTATTCATGTGTATATACTTTTAGAGACAGTGTTCTTCCACAGTTCAGAACTTAATATTAATATATTTGTAAAAATAGTCATATTTCAGTACAACAGTGTCGTACTTCCGGAGACCCGTTGAAACGCATCTTAACAATTATTCAATAATTAAGAGGTATTGGAAGCCAGAACTAGTTTTAATTTGTGATTGTTTGGATTGTCCCATTGTTGATATTGTGACTGAAGTTTAATCAGTCTTAGCTAAGATATATGTATATGTGCGAATCGCTTCGATATAGCTACTACGACACTAGTTTATATAGATTAGATGGAATGCGGTTAAGAATTAAATCCAGGAGCGCGTTAACGTTTGAAGCGAAAGGTATTTAGTTCGAGTCTCGGAGCGAACATCAGCTTTGGGATGTAAGTATATCTGGCTGACGAGTTTCATACAGTATGTAACATACTTCCTGCACTTCACTGCTTACCACATCCCATCTATTCTATACAAGAACTAGTTATTTCCAAACACTTTCATTATTATGTAACGCATAAACATATCAGACAAAGTTACTGAGTAAAAACAGGCATATCATATTCATTTTCGATTTCTATGTGAAATATATAGATGTGAATGTTATTCAATTCTAACTGATAATTGGGATTATTTACATTACGTCTTAATTACTATTAGTTTAATGTAATAAATTTTCTACTTTGATTTTAGCGTAAACGTGCACGTCTTGTTATGCCTGGTACAAAATCTAACAATATTGCTGTAAATGAATTATTACAATCAACAAATACAGAAGTGATATCAATTAATCAATCTGATTTAACAGCTGGTGCTCAATTAGAACTGATTAAATCGGTTACAAGTGATGATTCACAGTATAGACCAAAGTCTACAGATGATGATCCTGGCAAATTAGCACATAGAAAGCATCAAATCACTTGGCTAGCTCATCAAGTATGATTTTTTTCTTCTTTTAATAGCATTATTTCGTATGTTGTTACTTGGTTATTTGTCATAAAATTTGGTGAAACTGTTAATTACTATTTTTGTAGTTAATATATACGTTTGTTTGGACATAGACTGTGAATTGTTTGGAGTGTATCAGCTGGATGCTATAGACTTAGGCTTCATGCTAGTTGCCACTTATCAATAACGAATACATTGAAGGAACTATACTTCCCATGAAATTTCGAACCCACTTTATCCAGTCAGAAATGTTGTTAAAACACGGCATCGAAAGTAGTATGTACCGCACAAAATAAAACTTGTTTATGGCTTGGGGTACTCCTCAGGCGCCCAAGGTAAGGCACGTGGTTTTCTTAAGGTGATTTTTCTCTAGTCCTAATCCACATGATACTGAAACAAAGTCAGGAGATGCAGTACCATGATCACCGGTGATCGAAATGGGTTCATATGCCTCTCGTCTCACCAGAATCATAGAACACATACACAATTGTTATGGAATTAAAGTTCTCCAAATCCCCAAGGTAGACGCTCCATATCCATCAACGTGTTCTAAACACTGAATTTTCGCTTTCTATCTTCTTTCTTATGTAATACCGTCACGTGAAGACGGTGGTTATAAATGCGTGGCTATATGGCAGTATTTCGAAAAATAAAGCGAACTTTCCTCATCTTCAGTCGTTATTATTTATTTATTTACTTATTTAAACACAAACATGAGTACAAGGAGGCACCAAATAGATTTGCGCCACATAAATCTTTCAATTTGTGTGAGGGCTGGGATACTGCCCAGGTGCCCAAACCGAAACAGATGGTTTTCTTAGGGGGCCACACCCCAAGCCTTTGACATAAAGGTCTGACCCACAAAGCATTGAGTGAAATAACGTCCGGAGATTCAGTCCCATGGTAACCGGTGACCAACAATTGGTTCATACGCCATTCATTCTTTCAGAATCCTGGAGCCCATGTGCACCATTGGTTTGGAGTCAGGGTTTTCCAACTCCCGTAGGTTAACTCTCCGTGTCCACGATGGACATTCGCTTTTCGTCCTGTCAACCTTCTAGACAATATTAATGCCGCGAGAAGGAAGTGAGTAGGACTTCCCTGAAAGTGGTTGTATGCACGTAGCCATATGAAAACATTTAGAGAGGGAGAGTTGACTCTCTCCACTCTCGGCCGTACCAACGCATTTTGTGTGCAAATGCATAAATACAGCATAAAAATTATTTATATTTAATGACTTGCAATAGCCTACACATATTAGACATATGGTGAAGTTAAAAGAAACATTGCAACTCGAAAACTTCATCGTGTTTTTTTTTTTCAAAATTCTACTTTATCACTTAAGTTCTTACTCTCTTTACAATTCTATTCAAATAGGCTCAAGAAAATGAAATGGAATTAGAAAAACGTTGGGCGGAAGCAAGACGTAATAAGGCTTCAAATCGAGCTAAATATGGATTTTGATTCCTTATTAGTCAACTATAGAATTGTTTTTCATCCCGCTGCCCAACTACCAACATTTTATGTGAATATGTAAATAGTACTTGTAATATGTCTTTTTTTTGTATAGAGCTTATTCTAAGTTCCTTCAGTAAGTTTTATTTATTTCCACTGTCCTACTGCGAAATGTAGTATTTCATTGTAAATATAATTTGGTCGTTTATTGTTTCTGCCTTTTACTTGTGTTATTTACTAATCAAGTCATTGATTAGTTAAAATCAATTTAAGCAGAGAATTGTATTGAATGTTAGATTGTATTATTTAGAAGATTACTAGTATAGGGGTTGTGGAGATTATTAAGTTTTTGATTGAGATCATGAACCGATTGATGTTAGACCACCTTCGGAAACCTGGAAGCACTGGACGGCCGTTTCGTCCCATTGTGAGACTTACTCCTCAACAGTGCGCATCCACGATCCCGCTCGCGGGGTTCGAACCCGGGGCCTTCGGTCTCGCGCGCTGACGCTTAACCTAATGGACCACTGAACCGGCCTCCAATGGTGATAGTGTCTAACATCAACCAATCCACGAAATTTCGCGACCAACTTCCATTGTACTGAGGTAGGTACCTGTCTCTACCCGACATGGATTAGCTCCACTGGTCACTAGAACTCCGAGAATTCCTTCACGAAGCTAGTCACTAGTGAGCACATGTTGATTACTAGTATAAGGGTTGTGGAGATTATTAAGTTTTTGATTGAGATCATGAAGAGTTAGATAGTTTTTCTTAGTGAAATATGCTTAACTAAGTATGATTTAAAACTCTAAAGGTATTTGTGGAGATTGTTGGATTTGGTGGTTTCTATCATGGGTTGACCATAGTTAGACAACCACTAAAAACTAGGAGCAATGAACATCTATTTTGTCCCAATATGGAACTTCTCAGTAATAGAGATTCATGACCCCACTAGAGGCAATTAAACTTAGGACCTCCGAATCTCCTGGTGGGCAGTTCACCTTATCAACTTGAATAAATACGCAATATCGTACAAACATCTTCCACTGTCTCGTCCGACTTGTTTGAACTCCAATGGTGATAGCTTTTTGATACGTGACTACGTTGAATAAATCCTGAATTATAATTTTAAGAATTTACTTTTGCACTGCTTATTACATATAAGTAGTTTAATTTTATCTAAAAATATTCACTGAAATACCTAATATCCCGTTATTACTTCATTCATTTCAAGAATCACTGCTGCTTTTTGGGATGTAATTTTTGATAAAAATTGCTTCTCATGCCATCAATTATACTTCATTCGTTCTCTTTATCTGGATTGTTTGACTGTGACACGCTTGGTAAATCCATATCAGACAATGAAGAACAAATAACTAGATTATGTTTTCTACAAAATGCCAGAGGACTTGTGGTGTGCTGCAATCCGACTTTTCCATATAGATCATACAATTAACAATCCTGAGTACTTGATTATGTCGGTCAATATATATGAGTTGGGACTGTATACTTTTATGAACGAACAGTACTTCTATTCATTTGATAGTGACCTTAAAAAGAATTAGTACTATAAAATTGGAAAATCTCTACAAACACCTAAAGTAACTAGCTATGTGCTCGCTACTGAATAAAATCAAAAGGTAATATTCCGGAGTTCTTGTAGAGTTCAACCACGTCGTATGTGAGACAGGTACTCATCAAGTACATTGAAGAATAGTTGCTTGATATTCCGAATTGATTGAGGTTAGAGATGTACATGATAAGATTATAATTTACGGACGAACCAATCAGATATAAGAAAACAGGTCTGGGGTTTTGTCTCGAAATTCATTCATCCATTTGACTAAATAGCTCTTTGACATTATAGCTGATGTCAGTTGGTGATGAAAACCCCAAAATCTAATTCTTAACCCTAACCATCAACTGTAAATCATAATTCTAATTCCTCACACTGATTTATAACCCTCATTTAGTCCTAGCTAGAAGGTGGACGTCCTTAAGTTCACTTTAGCGTCACCCAAATGTCGTCCATAAATTATATTCTCACCATTGGATACCAGCTCGATGATATAAAGAGCCAATCAGAAGTAGCTAGACGCGGTCAATCGATGGCAATGAAAAGTTACCCGAAGGAGTATATATCATTGGCTAAGAAATGGATTGAGAGGTATATATATAGAAGAGTATTTGTGCATCTTGTTCGTTATCTTAATATACTTTCTCGTCCACTCTCGTGTTTTCGCTCAAGTAGTCATGTTGGGGGGGGTGTTATCGCGTAGCACATCGTGTATCAGTAACATATTTCGAACTCCACCCATCAAAACACTTGGCGATTTACAGGTTAAACATCCATCCACATGACCAAAGGTCCTGGATTCGATCTCCTATAATGGAGTTGTGGTTGAGCGTAACCACTATCCAATGTATTCTAGTTTCCAGTGCTTGTTTAACTATGATCATTCCCTAATTCATGTCTATTGTCCTATATAGTTTTCAGTAAAACAACAACAACAACAACCTTATTTTAGCAAAACTTTTACTTAAACATGCAAAAATACCCTTTCCAAGAAAAAAAATCACATTCCAATTATATACTATCACAATGTCAATAAACGAAGATGAGAAAAACGCAATTTGGAATTTTTTTCTCCTCATATTCTAGCCAAAAGAAACAATGGAAAACGTAAAAACTGGAATAATGAAGAAAATTTCTGTTTTTCTTGTAATGAAATATCCTACTGTTTTTAATGATTGACACAATTTAGGGTGTTATAACTTGTGGCCTGTGTGTTCTGTCAATGTTTCACATGATTATAGAACAGTGAATTATCGACCAGACCAATGATGTATAAAACAAGTACAAGCAGTCTAGCATCCTTATCGGTCGTGCTTTCCGTCTAGCCTTGCCTGTTAACTCCAGAACATCAATCTCAGCTTCTGCGATATGAATTATGTATTTCAAACATACTGGGTTTATATACACCAGCCAAACAGACCACATCGTACCATAAAATAGAAAATAACTTTTGTACCAAGATCTAGCCAAATGTGGCTATGAATGTGGGAAACTGTAATTAATAAACTGGGAATAACTCAAGAATGGTAAATCATATAATAATAGTTCATATGTCAAAATAAAGCTCGTAATAAGAGGGAAACGAATATGAATAGTTTAGTAAGTTAACAATTATACGATAAAAATGTACGTATAGTAATAGTCCAGAAATAGATTCCAAGAGTTACCATTCATTATTCTCATCGGGATATAACATGGGGAAGTTTTATTTTTTGATTAATACTTGTATTGTCTTTCATGTTTTACATATTGACTTAGTTAATTAACTAGTTGAAAGTATTTTAAAAGACACATTATCATGTATATATGGTGCATACTACTTATGCAAACAGATATAAGTAGTATATAGCAGCAATCGGGAATGAAATGCCTATCATTAGGAGATTGAATTGAAGAGAATAAGAAGGAAAATAAAGAGAAATTTTAATCACAATATAATTGAAAGAATTATGAAGTATATACAGGAAAACTGAAGGAAGATGTATAAATAATGTAGGATTTACGAAGGTACTTTGCAATTATGAATTTGTTGTAACGGGTGTGTGACTGCAGGTTTTTGATAAGCAGCGTTTTTATCGATCGCTTCTGTGACAGTGACAGTGACACGGAAAACACGTAAGGACGACCTAGTGCCCTGATTGGCCCTGCTTCGCTGTCTGTCCCAGCCATTTGAGTCAAGAACACAAGTCACAGCCTCTGAGTTATGAATCATTGTATTTCAAACATACTCTATTTATATACCAAGCAAACAAACCACATCGTACCATAAAATAGGAAACAATATTTGTACAATATTTAACAAGTGAAGTAAACATCGACCAATAAGAAATGTACATCTAAGGTCCAAGGCCACCGTAGACTTAACACAATAATTATTGGTATATTTTTCCGACTATCCTAACAGAATTCAAAATTAAATTGTTTTCCTTGCACAAGTTCTTCCTTCTCTACATGTGTATTGAATTCCAGTCGAAGGTAACTGTTATCATTTGATATGAACTATAACTTGGTAGTTAGATATGCATGTCGATTAATCAATGAAGTGGTATGGTAGTAAATATGTTGTGCAATAAATTATTATCAGATGGGTTTTGTGGATATTACTCCAATTTCAATGGTTAAGATCATGAGTCAGCTGAAGCTAGACCACCATGGAAAAACTAGAAGCACTGGACGGCCTTTACGTCCTATTGTGGGACTCCTCAACAGTGTGCATCCACGACCTCGCCCCCTGCGCACTGCTGAGGAGTCCTACAATAAGACGAAAAGGCCTTCCAGTGCTCCCAGTTTTTCCATGGTGGTCTAGCTTCAGCTGACTCATGATCTTAACCATTGAAAATAAATTATTACTTGAAATTTCGTTGACTTACGGACGACCTTTGAGCAATGCTAGACTGACCTTGAGAGTGTTCACCTAATAACTACGACCAAATGAGGGTTATAAACCTTTGTGAGGAATTACAATTATAATTTACAGTTGATGATTAAGGTTAGTAATTAGATTTCGGGTTTTCATATCGAACTGACATCAGTTAAAGTACCTAAACTCTATTTATCCAAATAGATGAGTGAATTTTGCGCCAAAATTCGAGACCTGTTATCTTAAACGTGATTGGTTTGTCCATAGTCTCGCCGAATTTTTTTTTCCTAATGAAACTACTTACAACTTTTTGATATTCTTACAAACATACATATGAGGTTTTTCTTCTCTCCTTTGTGATATAATACTGATTAATGTAAGAGTAGTGTGTTGTTTTAATTAACCTCATTTGATCTACTTTAAATAATATGCCTTACCACTTTATCTTTCCAAATCATATTCTGAATGTTCAATCTTTCATGATCGTTGTGTTTGTAAGCAAGAACTCAAGTTGCGAAGATCAATTTATTGTTGAATACAATATTACAGAATGTTCTCATAAAATATGAAAGTCATACATTAACTACTTCATTTACACATCTTTCATCAA